CCATGTGGCAGATCGAGGTGGGATCACATTCTCACCATAAACAAATATGAATGTTAGGAGTAAATTCTCCTTGTTATCCACTATTTAAGAATACAGCACCTTCTTCCTGTATTGACTTTTGTTGCTCCTGCCCCGAACACATCAAGCCAACAGGCAGACAGAACATTCTTATAAGGCTTATGGTTCACTTTAAGTTTGCTTTCTTTGTTTTCTCTGTGGAAAGAAACAAACCACAGGACGAAACTACAAGTTTAAAAGAGTAAATGAACAAACTTGTAGAAGCAAATATCAGTTTTTAATGATGACCAACTGTTGTCGTATTATACGTTCAGAACAGAAACGGAAGCTGAACCTTTTTCAAACAAAATGTTTTTAAATTGTTCTCTTTTGAAGAAAATCGCTTTCCTAAATTGGCTCAACTAAAAGTAAATCTGACTCCAACCACAGGAGACAACACATGCCCTCCAGTGTTATTTTACATCCAGATGAGTCTTTTTGAAGCAACTTACACATGTTTCCTTCTGCCTTGGGCTCACACTGGGCATTGATTTTTCTCTCTCCATCAAAGGCTCATCACTCCCTTTCATCCCATTGTCTGTTTGTTTGCCTTTCTTCTATTTGAAGCCGGACACAGTGAGAAAATAACCCTCCTAGAGAATTATGTTGGCTGTCAGTAAATACAGTACAGTGAAGACGGGGTCGACTGCAGTCCTGCTGCAACACCCCACTGACCCGACTACAGTAACAAGGCTCTGTGCAGCATCCTTTATATAGAAAGTTCGATTTTCCTCCGTTCTAAGTTTGCTCTGTGTGTGTGTGTGTGTTTTTGGATGCGTTTACCTCCAGGTGGTGGGCATGGACACTGATCAAAGACTTATCTCCAGAGGAGACCCTGCAGGTGAGGGCCAAGGTAGCCGGCCTGGAGGCCCTGAAGGGCCAGAGGTCTGATTTGGGGCTGCAACGGGCCTGGGAAGGAAACTATCTGGTGAGTAGGAGAAGTAGCATGAGTCCAGTTATGAAAAAGACATATTTTACTGAGTGAAATTGGCCATGCTAGCTTTGTTCATGCAGGCTTTGTCTCCTGCAGCTTGCATCAGCTGCTGTTTCTCTGTGGCTGAAATCCAGATCAGATGTAGTTATTGAACCTCAATGCTGCAGTTTGTAGCATGAAATGCTGAAAAATAGAGTACCCTGCTGGTATTAACCCTTTAAGACCTACCATAGAACCAAGTCCGCCATAGCTTATATTATATTTTTACATGCTGTAG